GCGCGGGCGGAGGGCGCACACGGGCCGAGGCCACTTTGCCTCCGCGCCTGGGCCGACTCGCCTGCCGCTGGGCGCTACAGCTCATTATCGTGCTCAGGCTCCGCCCGGTGCTTCCCGCCCATAATTTCGGGCTGGCAGCCGCCACCTTCCCACTCGGGAGCCGTCAGACAGCCGTGACGCAGGGGTCGCGGGTCGCGAGCCTGAGCCTGCCGGGGCCGCGGGCCCCCCTCCGGGCCCCTCGCTGGGCCGTGCGTGTCCTCAGGAGCCTCCGTGGCCAGCGGGGCCCTGGCGTGGAAGCCGTGGCGTCACGCGGCCCGCACCGCAGCCGAGCAGCCAGGCGCGGTTCGCTCAGCTGTTCGTCCCCTCGGCTTTATCAGAAATGATGTTACGGCGCGGCTTGTGACTGCCGCGCTTGTTTTATCTGGCTGAAGGTATCTCTGCAGGAAAGAGGTTCTGAGGTAATTTCAGTAGCAAACGCGTTTCCTTCATTTCTGAGCCCGGCGCAGCAGGTGCGTCACCACCGCGGCCGCGGCGGCTGCCCCGCAGGTCTTACCGGGATGAACTGCTCCAGGCGGCCTTGGGGGAAGATGCCGTAGAGCTTGGGCCCCAGCGACCTCTCGGCCAGAATGGCGAACATCACGCTCTCCAGCACCATGGCCTCGGCCCCCTGGAACAGACGGCAGAGCAGGCGTCCAGTGCGTGCGGCCCCGCCCGCCCCGCCCGCCCCCCGCCCCACGCAGCCCACCACGGCCGGCACCTGGGGCCTCGCCCGCGGCCAAGGTCAGGCTGTGCGCTGAGGGTTCACGTGCCGCTCTCCCTCAGGTCGCTGGCGCCAAACCTAGGGCAGTGCGGGCATTGTGCTGTCTCGCGTGTCCTAGAGCTTTTGTGAGTTCCAGTCCCGGCACCCTGTCAAGGCCCCGACGACACACCCAGGGGCCCGCTCTGGGCAGAGCGCCTCCTGCGCCCCACTGCCCTGCGCGTCCAGGTGGACGGCCGGGACGCTGCTCGGGCAGGAGTTGCCCGGGCTCGGCAGCCCCGGCGGGGCCTCGGCCCCTCCCCGGCGCCTCCCGCCAGAGCGGCACTCTGCCTCCCGCCCTAGAATCTCGGGGACCTTAGTGGTGGGTCTCGGTCCTGCCTGGGAGGGTCCCGCAGCTGTGACCCGGGAAGAGCCTGCTCGAGGAGGCTCAGGAGAAACTGCTCAAAAGTACGAAAGCAAACAAGAGCCCCAGGTGGCCCGCTGGCAAGGAGCCAGGGAGCCCGAGGCAAAGCCAAGCCACTTCAAAGGGAGGGGCCTCATCAAAGCAGAAAGTGGCTGGCTGTGCTGGGAACCCCCAGTCATGCCCAGGCCCCGCCTCGTGGGCGCCACAGCCACAGTGTGCCCGCACGTCTGCGCCCCGATGCTCTGCAGTTCTGTACACACGACAGTCCTCCCAAGCCCTGTGCCGGGCCCTGAGACCAGTGCCGGGGTACTGGGGCTCCCGGGAGGTGACTCGTCGGAGGTGGTCACGGAGGCTGAGGGGAAGCTAGGACCGACGGTCACAGGTGAGACCTCACCAGAGCCCGAACACACCGGCCGCCCGCAGGCTCTGCGGTGGCTCCCACAGCCCGCCTGGACGTGCCACCCTGAACGAGGGGCAGAGCCCGCCGGGCAGGCAGGCCCAGGCCAGGGCACCGCCACGGAGGCCCGCTCGGCCCCGCCGTCGGCCCCGTCCCAGCCCCAACTCTCCAGGAGCGGGGCAGGGCTTCTGTCTCGGCAGCCAGCATTCTGCGGGGACTGAGACGTCCACTCCCCCGTCTGTGGAGACCAACTTAAGGGTGTGGACGCTGGCACGGCACAGACACCAGGGACACTCAGCGTGGAAAAGGCCTGCTTCACACTTAGCTTGACACCCCACTTTACGGCTGCTGTGAGTTCAGCATTCCGCACACGCCCACACAGGCCGGGGGGCTCCCGGGGGCCTGCAGGCCTGTGGCCCGGAGCCGCCTGGCGACCGGCGGTGCAGGTCAGGCCCCTGCCTCTCTGTGCTGTCCACGGCCTCCTCCTCACGCCGCAAAAAGGCAGGTGGCGCGTGCAGGCAAAGTCGGTCTTTTCGCTTTCTCTCCGTTTGTGGAGGGACGACTAGGGAGGGAGAACGAAGCGCCCGGTCACGAGCAGGAGAGACCGGCGCAGGGTGGGAATGGGGCGCAGCAGCGGGGCTCCCCGGCAAGCACCGGGCCCGACACCCTCCCGCTTGCTTGGAGGGCAGCGAGCAGCGAAGAGCGAGGCCACGGGCGGAGCTCAGGGCCCGGCCCCGCGCGGAGCGACAGCCACATCCAACAGCAGCTGGTCCTGCTTCCCCCGAGCGCTGCTTCTGGCGCCAGGCATTGCTGTGTTCACCCACGACAGCCACCAGTGACTCCTGGGGAGCCCCAAAGGCCCTGCCAGACGGCACGCCCACACTGGACGGACAGGTCAACGGGTGAGTCCAGGCAGGGCGGAATGACCGCAGTGGGGCAGAGACGACCACGTGACCGGTGGTGTGACGGGGGGCAGCTTCCAAGAAGGTGGCCGGCAGCTGAGGGCCGAGACGGAGCCATGCGAGGCCCACAGGAGGCCGGGGAGGCAGGAGCCGAGGAGGAAGGGACACAGCGGACAGACAGGCCGGCGCCCTGCGGGGCCGCGGCCGGGGCCGCCTTCCCCCGCCTACAACAGTGTTTCAAGTCAAGCCCTGGCCAAAAAGGGGGGCCCAGCAGGGCCGAGAGCCACGGCGGACAGAGCCCCGGCGTGGGGGCACCTTCGCCAGCGCCTCCGCCGCCTGCACCACCGCAGGGACCCGAGCAACACACACCCCCGGCGCCCCAACACCCGATGCGCGGGACGGGCACGGGGGGGCAGGAGCTGCCGGAGCCCCCTTCCTGCGGCTGGGGCGGGGCCGGGCCACAGCGCTCCCGAGTCTCCGGAAGATGGGTGGGCGGCAGACCCAAGCCCCACTCACAGGGCTCAGGATGACGCCGCCCGACGGCCACCGCATCCCTGTGACCCATGGCCCAGCGCGGGGCCCAGCCGCCAGCTCCCTGCAGGCCCTGGGGGGACAGCGGGGAGTGAGCGCGCAGCGGCGGGGTCCAGCCGCCCACCAGCGAGGCCAGAGCCAGCGCTCGCGGGCGCCAGTGCGCCACTGGCGGCGGCAATAGCGCCACAGCCACCTGCCCCCGGGGGGGCGTCACTGCCCGGCTTCCCCGTTGCAGCCGAGAGGACGGCGGCACCTCGCCTTGCTGCCCTCGGGAGGCCTCCGTGAGCAGGCACGAGCACAGGCCTCCAGCCTGCCGACCTCCTGCGGGAGCCGAGAGCGCCACGCTGCTGGGGGTCGGGGGACCGTCCCCCCACGCCACCTCTCGGCATCTCGCCCGTGGAGACGGGCAGCGGGCACCACAGGCCTGGGCCCGCGGTGGGCAGACCGGACGGCAGGCGCGGGCCTGTCCACTGGCGTGTGCCGGCAGCCAGCGCCAGCTGATGCCCGGGACGGAGCAGCAGGGACTTTATCACTTACTTGAAATTCACTCTCTTTCTGAGCTTGTTCGGATCCCCCCTCATTACAGGACCTCACACGTGCAGTGAGACCGGGAGGGGCGCGGCCACCACGACGGTCAGGCTGGCGAGACTGGGGGCGCCCCTGCCTGTCCTGCCTTCCGCAGCGGGGCAGCCGGCGCAGGCCAGGAGTGGCACAGCGCCCACGCGCCAGCCCGACCCCAGCGGCCGAGCCGCGGCGGCTCCTGAGTCGGCAGCCCAGGACCTCCTCTGGCTGAGCGCCGGCCCTCGCCCTCCCGGGGCACACAGGCAGGACGGCGTTCTCCCTGCGGGAACTGGGGTCCTGGCCGCGCCGAGGCCACCTCAGGTGCCCGAAAGGACACCTCGCTCTGCGGGTGGCGCCCAGCGCCTCCCCACCACTTCCGGCGAGAGCTTGCAGAGCAGGCTTGCCTTGGGCGCCTAGAAACCCTCAGCTGTCTTCAGCACTGGGCTGGGGAAAGCAAAGTTAATCAGAATTTTAGGGTCAGGGACCACCCTGGGGGCACAATGGGTTAAAGCTCCACCTTATGAAGCTGTCTGCAGCCTTCCTTCCATCCCTGGCTGGACAGTGACCCACAGGAACAGCAGGCCTCTCCTGGCCCGCCCGCTGCTCCCCTCAGCAGTGTCCTTCATCCACCTGCCTCTTCTGCTCCCCGCTCTGTCCCTGGTGAAGCCTCTCACTGCCCCTGCATCTCTGGCCTGTACCCCAGCTGTGTGTATAAATTTTAAAAATCTTAAAAAAAAAAAAAAAGGATTTTATAGTCAAATATTGTCTCTAGAAATATCTTTGTTCTTACAGTTAAATCAAGTCTGCTTAAGTCAGATTCAGGGGAAAGATCTTAATTTATTTTTTAAGTTTCTTTTTTTAAAGATTTATTTATTTGTGCATACAGAACTGGGGTACAGGCCAGAGGCTCAGGGGTAGTGAGAAGCTTCAGCAGAGACAGAGCGGGGAGCAGCGGGCGGGTGGAGAGAGGTCTGTCGCCCCTGTGATTCACCCCGGGCCGGGATCGAACTCACGCTAAAGTGGCTGCAGCTTCTTCGTGCTGTGCTCTGACCCGCCGCGCCCCCAGGGAGGGCCCTTAATTAAGAGAAAGACTGACCGGTGGAAAGCACGCGCACGCCTCTCCTGGCACAGCTCCTCACCACACAAGCGGGGCGCGGCGGATGCCAGACGCCCCAGCGCGCGAGCACGCTCTCCCTTGCCCTCTTCACGGGGAGGCGTTCCCCACCTCCCGGTGTTTTGTGAGCCCGGGCATGTCTCGCTCAGCAGGCTAAAGCAAACAAGTGCACGTCCATGCTACACAGCTGTTGCTAACAGTGTACTCGGCATTCGTGACAGCGTCACTTGATGAAGCGCACTCAGGGCAGAACTATACACCGGAAGGCGGACTTCGCCCCTGGCTGATCTGCCTTCTTGGCTGACAAGTCCGCAGGTCAGATCCTGTTACAGTGACAGCTACAGAAACACAGAGCACCACAGAAAAGCCTTGGCGACGGCCCAGGCCAGGTGGTGAGGGGAGGAGCAATGGCCAGTCCTCCCTCCCTCCCTCCCTCCCTCCCTCCCTCCCTCCCTCCCTCCCTCCCTCCCTCCCTCCCTCCCTCCCTCCCTCCCAACCCCCAGGCCCGCTGTCACTTAGCCTGGAGAAGTCCGCAGTTCCTGATGAATCTTCCCCACAGCACCAAGAAGTCCAGTGCTTCCTCTCCTGCAGGCCATGAGGCCCCAGCCTGGCACCGCCTCCCGCCAGGGGGCAGAGGGGGCCCACCGCGGCCCACCCCAGGGCGTCTGCTGCAGTGCTCGGCGCCACCGCGGGGCGGGGCTGATCCGGGACATCAAATCCACGGGCTGTGCTGCCAGAGGGAGGGCGGGCTGCTGCCCACCGGCCCGGCTGACTTCTGCATAACGGAATTTGACGGGCACGGCCAGTGTGCCCAGCCGCTGGTGCAGCGAGCTCTCGTGCAGGTGCTTCACCCCCGCTCCCGTGGGCGGCGTCCGCTTGGAGCATATCAGCCCCCTCCTGCCAGCTGCGCCCGCCTGCCCGCATTCGCGCCTGCCAGCGCCCAGAGAAGGCCGGGCTTCCGCCTGCCCCGTGCTGTTTCCTCAGTACAGAATGTTCAGGCCTGGGGCGGGCAGTCAGAGCAGGACCAGCGGCTCGCGCCAGGGAGAAGCGGCCAGAGGTGAGAGCGGAGGCCATCTCCTGAGGTGACCAGAGGCCCAGAGGCCCAAGAGTTTGCTGTCCAGAAAGGACGCACTCCAGAGACGCGGTGCACGCGGGCTGGCCTCCAGGATCCAAGTGCAGGCGCCATCCACCTGGTACGGCCACGGGCCGGCCGCCCCCCAGTCAGGCCCGGGCAGGTCCCGCCCCCGCACCCCCTCGAGGCCGCCCTGCGCAGGCGGCAGCCGTGTGCTCAAGTGGCCCCGGGCCTGGCTCTGGTGCCGGCCCCACGCTGGTCACCCGAGCACACGACGCCTGGGAGGGCTGTCGGCCAGGCGGCTGTGCGGGCTATCAGGTGACCGTGGGCCCAGCCGCAGGGCTGTCCAGTACGGCCCAGCCTCCACTTCCTGGCTTCCAGGCAAGTATTCTGAGCTTGAGCCTTCCTGGTTTTTTACATTTGCTGGAAATATTCTACAGAGCACACTGAAACATGAAGACGGGTAGTGCTGAAATAAGTCACGTCACAAGCACACAAGCCTAAGAATTTAACAAGAACAGGGGTTCTGATGTTCTCCCTTACGTTGGGGGCCACTCGGGCACATTTCGATCCTTTTGAACTCGATGGACATCAACAGGTGACCAGACTTTCACTGTGGCCTCACAGGGCTCACGAGCACCAGTATCAGCCTGCAGTTACCCAAAACACAGCTGTTTCCCAGACAGCGTCCATGGGCACGGCGCAGGGGCAGGGCTGTCCCTGCACGCCGGCTGCGGCCCAGGACATGGGGACTGATGCCGCGGCCAGACACATGGGCCCTCCGGCGACCTGCAGGCAGCCTCTCTGCCGCAGCCTCCCCAGGAGCAGCCTCCTGCGGCACGCAAGGCAGGTCAGCCCGCGCCTCTCCAGGCCTCCGTCTAGCTCCCTGCTGGGACGGTGCCGGCTGGACTTGGTTTCCGTCATCCCGCAGCAAACACTGGCGGCCTCCTCCCCCGAACGAGAATGACCTGCCCCAGAGACGCTGGCGCTCACGGCTGTCGGCTCGGGCTGCGGCATTTCACGTCCTGCAAACGCACGCACAGTCCTCTCCAAGCTGTCTGCCCGCCCTGCCCTCAGAAGGCCCCTTCTTCCCCTCGCCAAGCAGCGGACTCTGCAGGTCCTGGGAACCAGCAAATCCGCTGACCCTGGGATGCGGTTTGGGAAGAGACAGACCGTCTTTGGGGGGCAGCTGGCTGCCCGGCGCCTCCGGGAAGGAGGGGCGCCCAAACCCAGCCTCAGGGAGGTGGCTGTAAATGTAAATCAAAAAAATATTTTCTATGTCAACGTACAGGCCTCTCAGCCCCGCGGCCTGGAGCGCTCGGCGGCGGGAGGCGGCCCCGCCCGAGAAGGGTGTCCGAGAAGGCTGGCCGCTGCAGACGCATGTGCATGTGGAGACCTGTGCGTGCTTTCCTCTGAGCATAAAAAACAAAAAATCTTGAGCTTCTACGTAACTTATAAACTACGTCTGAATTACACGAGAAGCGTTTGTGCTTCTGTGTGTCTCGTTTTAATACACTCGTGAAAGTGATGCGCTCGCCACCCTTCTGCTCAGCCACATTCTGCAAACAGCAGGGGCTGGGTGAGCCTCTCCCCCACCACGCTGAAGATGCGTGGACCATGCCCCCCAGAGCGCTGGGACGGCTCGCGCTGGCTGGCGTGGACCCCGGCTCTGTCCAGAGCCCCTGTGCGGGCCCTCGGCATGGCCCCTAGCTGTCCACGCCTGCCTGTGAAACCCTGCAGAACTTGAGAACCAAAACTACTTAAATTTGAGGCACTAGGATTCAGTTTCACGAATTTCAACCCTCAGCCAGGAGTGCGCGGACTATGAAGCAAAGGAGCAGACTTTTTTGCAACAAAATTGAGTGCATAATCCAGTGAGTCAATGGCGAGGTGGCTTAATGCTGCTTTTCATCCAGCAAACTGCTTGCCTAGCTTTCCGCCCAACACGCTTTCAGGCGATTTCTACCCTTCCAGGACAGGGCCTCAGGAGTAGAGACGAACATTCATCCAGTAAGACTCTGCGGCCCTGCCTAGTGGCGCAAGGGTCACAGCACAGCACCAGGAGGCGAGCCCCGGCCAGGGAGGGACCCACATGGCGTGACAGACCTCTCCTGCCTCCTCTCTGCTCCCCTCAGCAGTGTATTTCTGCTCCCCACTTGTCTGTGGTGAACCCTCTCCTCCCCCGCCCCTGGCCCATAACCCAGTTCTTGTATGTGTAAGTAAATACACCTTTAAAAAACGCTGAGAGGCCATGGTAGTGTGCGCCCCACCCTCCCCCCAATTTGAACTTATGTAAAACATACCCCAGTCTATGGCCTGTAGGGCTCCATGATAAGTGATGTGATCATTCTATTTATTTTTCTAAGCATCGAACGGTCTTTTTTCCCCTTAAAAGTAGAAAGGGACACAGAATTCTATTATAATAAGTTCTATTTCCAGACATTTCCACTGAAGTTAATGATATTATGTAAGAAGTAGCACTGGAAGAGATACGTTTGGACTAAATAGTAACAACTGGCTGGACTGTCCACTTGGGGAAGGCTGCCCGCTGCCCGCTCCACTGGGTGGCCCCCGCCTGCACCCTTGGCGCTGTGCCCCCAGCGCGGCCCCCGCAGCCCACGGGCCCGGTCCCTTTCGCAGCTGAAACCAAGTGGGATTTAAGTTCCATCGCTCAGCCTCACCTGCCAAGTGTCAAGGGTCGGACCAGCGCTGCGGCCAGTGACGGGCACCCAGGCAGGCAGACCCAGACAGCCCCCTTGACAGCACCCCTGCCATGCTAGGGCACAGAGGAACCCCGGCTCGGGCCTGCGCCAGAAGGGCTCCCCGCCGGCTCACGCATGCTGCAAATGCTTCTCAGTGGCCCGAGAAACAACTGCCTCATCAGTCACAGCCGCACAAGTCTCACCTCATACGCAACCCCAGCTGCCGGTGATTGTTTTGCAAGCACAAAACACCAGTGAGCAGAAAGGGGGCTCCCGTTAAGAGAACGTAAGCAGGGCTCCCTGGTGGAGCAAGGGGTTAAAGCACAGCCTCACAAAGCTGGCCAGAGCGCTTCAGCACGAGCTCAGTCCCAGCCAGGGAGGGACCCCCAGGGCGCAGCAGGCCTCTTCTGTCTCCCCGCTGCTGTACTTCATTAATCTGCCTGTTCTGCTCCCCGCTCTGTCTCTGGTGCAGCCTCTCACTCCTGCACCTCTGGCCTGCACCCCAGGTCTGTGTGCATAAATGAATAAATCCTTAAAAAATAAACAAATCTCTGTGCAAGGGCTTAATGGAGGAACTACTTGTGACAGTTCACAGATGTTTAAAAAAAAGTGCAAATGTAAACAATCCTCTAAGAAAAGTGGCTAAAAAGACTGATCTCATTAAAAGTGCCAAGAGGACATTAGTGGGATATTTCAAAAACTGCTTTGAGACATCATCAAATAAAAGCGGCCTACCCAGGAAACCCCGCCAGCCCCGGGGAGCTTCTCGCCATCACAGGCCAGAGTGGCCGACAACCTAGTCCTCGGCCTCCGGACGGCTCCCCGGCTCCAGCCCTGCCCCCCATCGTGACAGTGGCTTAGAGAAGTTAGCGCCTAGACGGCCAGCTTTAGCTTTCAGGAAACACCTGACAAGTTCTCATAGACATGACACGGCCAGGTATTTAGAGTGAACTGAGAGATGGCTCTTTCAAAAAATGAAGCCAAACTACTCTCTAAAAATGAAAATGGGCCATTCAAAGAAAACTGAAATGTCATCCAAGAAACATACCGACCAAACTGTGTGTGTGGTCAGCAAACGGGAAATGGCCCAGGCGTTCGGAGGGTGCTACGCCGGGAGACAGTTTAGCCAGGCAGGCACTTGACTGGGAGAGTAACAACACGCAGAAAGGCCGCGAACCAACAGCGGTCGGGTCACGGGCCTCGGAGGGTGGCGGCGGCAGGCCCGCCTGCCCTCAGGCTCGCCCGGTGAGGCCAGCGCCGGGCTCGGGAGCTTCCACGTGCAGAAACGCCAAGTGTCATCAAGCACTGGGAGACACGTAACCGACATCAAGCTTCCCCTGGGCATACAATCGGGAATATTCATCCTCATTTCCTAACAAGAAGTGAGCAGAAATTCCCTTGAAATGGAGACAAACGTCACACCGAGTGGCCAGGCCAGCTGCCAGCGATGCCCTGGGCGCCCGGGCCCACTCCCCGCGCAGACTCACCATCTTCAGGATGGCGCCGTACAGCCGCAGCAGCACCTTCCGGGGCTCGTCGCCCATGGGGGCCACCGTGTCGGGCAAGGAGCACTGGAACAGCATGTTGCTCAGGCCGCCTCTGTGGGGAAGAGGGGGAAGTGTTTGCGCCTTGGGTGCATGACGCCACCCGCGGGGAGCACAGGAAGCCGCGGCTCCTATCCCGCGCCCACCCCCTGGGCAGGGGCCACAGACAGCGCTCTGCAAGCCTCGGGGGCCCAGGCACGCCGAGGACCAGTGCTGTCTGGGTGAGTTCTGGCTCCACAGCAGGTGAGACCTACCTGGGCCGTCTGCCTCTGGCAGACCCAGCACCCCCTGCCCCTGGGTCTCCCCTGGGTCCACAGTACCCACAGATCCCACGGCCGCCCCCGGGGGCCACCCTCACAGTGCCTCCCTGCATCGCCGCTCCCAGCTCAGCCCCTTTGCTTCGGGATCAGAAACAATTTCTCAGCCACTTCTGACTAACAGCTTCCCCCAAACGTGCGCCATCAGCTGACGGTCAGGGGTAACGCGCCTCAACACGAGCGACCACCCGGCCGCTGCCCCACTGCCGCGATCTGAAATAATGAAGCGCTGAGCCAGTGCACAACCGGTGAACGCCGCCTGTGATGCTGTTACAGCCCCGCAGCACCGTCCGGTCCCCCCCAGGGCGCAGCAGGCCCCTCCTGTCTCCCGCTGCTCCCCTAGGCAGCAGGTTTCACTGGGATTTTTCCCTTGGGAGGGGGGCAATGGAGAAATGAGCAGGTGTGAGGGGAGAGGGGGGCCAAAGACCGAGGTGGGGAGCCCAGGTGCTAAGGAGGGAGAAGGGAGGATGACGATTCGGAATGACTGTCTCTGGGGAGTCCTCTCACACCCCCGCACCTCTGGCCTGCACCCCAGTTCTTGCGTGCCAGACTAAATCCATCTTCTCACATTTTGTCTTCAATGCGAAAAACCCTCGCGAGCGCCAGGGACCTCAGCAAACCTAGGGGAAGGCAAAGGGGCTGGAAGCCAGCCCTGGGGGTGGCCCAGAGCGGCCGCCGCCTTCTGCACTGTGCCAGCAGCTCACCACGGAGCGGGGACGCAGCTGCACCGCCCCCACCAGGGCTCCGCTACCAGGCAGCGGCCGGGCAGCAGCCTCGCCCTCCTTCCAGACACGCACTGCTGAAAGCCCAGCCGGTGGGCAGACAGAGCGGCACTGTTCTAGCGAAGCTGTGTGGCCTGAGTCGGGCTCACGCCCACCCCCATGGGCCTGGCGCCCGCCAGGCAGGCCCGCACCCTGCCGGCCCCTCCCCGCCTCGGCGTTCACAGGCGCCAGTGGCAGGATGTAACCTGTTGGGGTTGGGGTTTGGTGTCAAAACAAATCAAACCGACCACAGCCCAAGGAGGACCCCATGTGTGAAAGGACACCCAGAAAGAGGTCGGTGACCAACGAGACGAGGCCTACCTGGGGAACCAGGCGGCAGGAGGGGAGAAACGCCAGACTGCCACGTGCTCGGTGCCAGCCCTCCTGAGCAGCGGTCAGCTCGCTAGGAGTGTCAGAGGTCTGAAACGGCCGCTTTTGGCCCCCGGGTCACGGCCCCATCACATACGCTGTCAAAATGGGGGCACGGGGCCCTCACCCCATGAGCCGGCGACGCCAGGGATGGCATAGGCAGGTGCGGGCACCACAGATAGGCCGGCGGGCAGCAGGAGGCCCCCAGGGAGTGCCCACATCCACCCCCGCCCCAGGCTCCCCTGGAGGACGCATCCCGGAGCGCTGGCAGGCATGGAAATACCACACCCGTTTCTTCATGTCCAACTAACCAAGCATTAACTCACAGTCACGATGAGCGACTCACCCATGAAGAGAGTTTTCAAAAATGCTGAAGACGGGCCTCCCTGGGGACGCAGGGCGGGATCTCAGCACTGTGAAGTGGTCCCAGTCACCATGGCCTGCGTCCGGTCCCCGGCCAGGGAGGGGCCCCAGGGCGCAGCAGGCCTCTCCTGTCTCCCCAATCTCCTCAGCAGTGTATCTCCGTCGATGCACCTGTTCTGCTCCCCACTCAGCCTCTGGGGAGACCGTTCAGCCCCCGCACCTTTCCTGCACCCCAGTTCTTGTATGCATAAATAAACACATCTTTAAGAAATAAAAAAAGGCAATACAGAGAGAAAACCTGCCGTAGCCCAGGTGCAGGGCCCACCCCGCGGTGGCCACCCACTGCCTCCTTCGCACTCAGCAGCCGCCTGGAGCCACAGCAGGAGCTCAGGCAGCCGAGGCGGGTTTGCTTCAAAACTTGACCAGATTTTATCAGCCTTGCTGAGGGGACTAATGCAGGCTGACCTGCAAGCTGTATGACTTGCTTGACTTTCAGATTTTAGACTCCACATCCCCAGAAATCATGTTCATCTGGATCTGAAAGACCCCCAAAACTAAAAGACAATCAGTGACCCAGATTCTACCAGTCGGACATAGCCACTTTGAACTTGAGGGCTCTTTTTTTAACTTGGAGGGTCTTTTTCTTATTTTCCTAGCTTCCTTTTTCTTTTTATCAAAATCAGGCTCACACTGACCATTCCATGAGGTCCCTTTTCGGTCTCACACGTACACCTGTGTAGCCCGGCAGAGCCTGCCCGGGGCTTCTGGATGGAGCCTGACAGCGCCCCACAGCGCAGCCGCCGCACCCTTCACCCGCTCACCCCTGGGGTCTCAATCCGTCGCCTAGCTTTTTAACCAACACAAACTTGACATATCAGAATATAACCTATAGAACACTACACTGCCAGTGATGACAAGTAGTTTTAATAGTCAGAGGCAACTGAGGTGCCCACACTGTTGGAGTGGACGAAGGACAGGCAATACTTCACCATCCAAAACCGCTGCAAGTAAGTACTGTGAGGCCGTCGGGGAAACAGCCAAGGAGAACAGGCCCCAGACACTGGAGGCAGCACCAGGTGACCCCGAAGCAGCTTCCCTCCAAACCCGTAACTGCGCTACGCCACCCTCACAGCATGCAGTTAGCCACACCAGCCACAAGGGGGGGCTAAATCTAAAGTATCAGATGAGCTAGAAATTTCCATGTGCGTGGAGGCCTCTCCGCGAGCAGCGTCCAGAGGAGCAGTGTCCAGAGGAGCTCGCTGGGCAGGCTCCCCTGAGAGACCAAGGCCTGGGCGGCCCCGGTTCTCGCAGCTGAGGGAGCGCACGCCTGCCTGCGTCAGTCTTCTTGGAATGACCAGTCCAGCAAGTCGCCTAAACGACAAGTCAAATATGGAGCCAAATGCCCCAGGCACAAGGCCCGGCTCATGGGGCCGGGCGACGATGCAGCTGCAGGCGGCTGGTGCTGGTGCTCCCAGCACCCGCACCCCTTACACCAAACACTGGTTCCAGGTTTCAAAATTCTGACCTGGGGTGTTTCAGAAACCGAACTTTAATACCCACTCAAAATGGTGGCCACCTGCAGCAAAGGAAGTTGTACATTTATCTAACCATTTGTTCTGCCCCATTGCCTTTCTCAGATGGTGGCTTCTCTATCAGAAGTCAACAGTCCTACACGAAGGGCGTCTCAGAGACACTGACATGTTACCTACAGCACAAAACCTGAGGTGCGGCGAAGCACAAAATCAAGTTCCTCCAACTAACCAAGTTCAAGGTCGGGACTGAGCGCTCATGTCTAGAACACGTCCAGTTAGTTTGGAGCTGTGATGCTGGTCTGCAGGTTTTCAGGAAGAGAGAAGTAAAACGGAGATTTCCTCACCACCTCCCAAATAAGCAAATGAGGAAACCCCCTGAGGAATACCAGTCTCCCCATCTGGGGGCCCAGGAGCAGTACCAGCACCCCACACCGGAACAAGAGGCCAGCACTACCGTGAGCAGCAGAAGGGGCTGTGGGTCCATCCTCTCTAAAGCTGGGCTCCCAGCCTGTCCACCCACCTGTCAAAAACATCAAAACCACCAGTAGGAGGCCTCCCTGGTGGCGCAAGGGGTTGGCGCGCGGCACTGTGAAGCTGTCCGTAGCCCCCCAGCATGAGTTCAATCCCCGGCCAGGGAGGGACCCAGGGCGCAGCAGACCCCTCCTGTCTCCCCGCTGCCCCCTCAGCAGTGTCTTCTGGTGGGTCTGCCTGTTCTGCTCCCCACTCTGTCTGGTAAATCCTCTCACCACCCCCTGCACCTCTGGCCTGCACCCCAGTTCTATATGCATAAATAAGTAAATCTTTAAGAAGAAACAAAAAACCACCAAGGAACCAGCCATGAAAACGCATTCACGCCGCCTGAGTGTGAGAGGTCAGCAAATCCTGTCCACGGAGCCTTTCTGCTGCCTCAGCTGCAGGACACAGCCTGCTGGCTCGAGGCGCCACTCAGCTGGGGGTCCTGAGTCCTCAAGGACTCAGTCTGTAGTGGGCAGCAGGCGGCTGGTCATTTCGCTGAAGAACAGGTTGTAAGGTGAACGGAGAGCCGAGAGCCTCCATTCCTAGGAACGCTTTATCCCACAGAAAATAATGCTGGGTAGTTCTGGAGTAAAGTCAACTAAACAGGTAACAGTTTACTATGTGACGGTGTCTTTCGTTCAGCAACATGTATATAAACATCCCCACAACCCAGCTCTCTCTTGTATTTGGAGGCCAAGAAGGTCGTGGAGAGTTTATTTAAGGTCTTTTTCTTTTTTAAGGATTTATTTATGCACACAAGAACTGGGGTACAGGCCAGAGGTACAGGAGGTGAGAGGAATCCCCGGAGACAGAGTAAGGAGAACAGGAGGATCTGTGGAAACACACTGCTGAGGGAGCAGTGGGGAGACAGGAGGGGTCTGCTGCGCCCTGTGGGTCCCTCCCTGGAGCTGAAACTTAACCCCAGTGCCACAAGGTCTTGACATAGACTGCTCCTCATGATACATCCATTTTTCTCCCCAAATTTTAAATTCCAGTAAAATACACATCACATACTATTTAGCTGTGGTCGTCATTTCCACGCCACAAAGCTGAACCCACACGGGCACCCCAGTGTCTCACAGACCTGACCCCTGGGAAGCTCGCACAGGGGAGCCGGCCTGCGCAGCCCCCCTGGAGACTGGCCCGCAGATGGCCGTAGACGGCCCCAGGCATGTATCGCGGGCCTGGTCTGTCCCCAGACACGCCGCACCGCCGCTCCTGCGGGAGGAGGCCCAGGAGGGGGCAGCCAGGCTCAGGCAGCAGCGTCGCTCACCTGCGCGACAAGGCGGCGTGGCCGGCCGGCCGCAGGAGACACCGGCGCCAGGGAGCGCAGCGGCTTGCTGGCGGGCCTGAGCTCAGGGCCTGACCCAGGAGCTTCAAGCGCACCATCAACAAGTCAAAATGACTCGCAAGGAAACGAAAAGCACACTGTAGTCACAACCACAATCACGGCCAGAAGCCCGGCCGGGGGTCACAGCACAGCGCCGCGTGGCGAGTAGGCGCGGAGTGAGTCTTTGCAGAGTTTCTTCTAAGCACCAAAAACTCAGCTTGAAGCAACCGTGGCTGGGAGGAAAACAAACCCCACCCTTGAGTGAAGTGACGGTAGCGCCCCAGCTCAGGAGTGGCTCCCCCAGTCTGGACACCACGCCCGGGGCAGAATCCTGAGAGCTTCCCCCAGAAAGTGGCCGGAAGCTGCGAGGCCTGGCCCAGTCCCTGAGGCCTCCAGGGCGACCTGCCCAGCAGAGCCACCCTCAGGCACCAGCCCTCAGGCACCCAGCCGTGGCCCTCACTGGGGCGGAGCGGGCGAGGTGTCCTGCAGCACCCTGGCGCCGGGCGCCAGGGGCGCTCCATGTTACCAAACACCCGGGGTTCGGGTGAACAGCGCCTCCGCTCTTAATGACCGTTTCCTTTCCAAAAATCGAGCGCCGCCAGCCCTGGCCGGTGCCGCTCTGGTCCCGCACCCGTGGGGCCAGACTCCCTGTCTCACCACGCACACTGTCTCGCCCACCCCGGGGAGCAGCCCGTGACACCTCCAAACTGCCAGCTCCCAAATTCCTCCTTTCCATGCTCAGTGCGGCTGCCCAAAGGCAGTCCTCTCACCCACACTCATCTCCTGGCTCTCGGCCGGTCTCGCCTCCAAGCGAGCCTTCGGGTCACCTCAGAAAGTGTCCCTGAAATAGCACTGCGGGCGGCCCACCCTGACTTCCTGGGGACCGGCCGGCCCTCTGCCCACTCCCCAGAAAGGCCCCCGCTCCTTCCAGAGCCCAGGCGCTCCCACTCTCCACAGCGCCCACAGCCTCCTGCCCGTGCCACCTCTGGCCGCAGCGGTTCCAGCCCTTCCTCGGAGGGACGCATGCCGTGAGACACAGGATCACCCTCCCCTGTGGGTACAGAGCGGCCCCTGGAAAGCGAAGGCTTCAGAGCTGCACTGGGCACACCGGGCCCCGTTAGCTGGAGCATGGGCGATCCTGGGTGGGGGTGCAGGCCAGCAGCTGGGCCCCGACAAGGAACACGAGGAGAATGCAGGGGCCAGACAAGCCAAGGCTAGCCTGGGGACGCCTCCCGGTCTAACAGCAGCCAGAGCCCGGCTGCAGGCCGCAAGGTCCTACACAGGGGAACTGGTGTCCCCTAGCCGGCAGCGGACAGTAGAAACTGAAGTAAAATGCACTGCCGGTGAAATCGGCACTCCCCCCAAAAAGGCAGACGCCTGGCAGGGCGAGGCCACAATCTGGATGGCAGTGGATGGCAACCACAGGCTGCTGAACGAAACGAGCGAGGCCTGGGCAGGCGGAGGGTTCCGTGCCCCCAGGTGGTCTCCCCATCTCAGGAGGTCAGGTCTCTACTCCAGCCACAGGGGCTGCACCGTCGCACCAGAATAACCCCAGAAGTTACTTCGTGGGCGCTGGCAAACTGACTCTAAACTCGACACGAAGAGGCGAAGGACCCAGAGACGCCAACTCAGGCCTGAGGAGGTGACGGCCAAGGACTAGCCCTGTGGACGGAAGACGTGTTCAAAAGCTGCAGAGTCGAGGCAGCGTGGGGCTGGCTGGCAAGACAGACAGCGCACGGGGAGCATAACAGAAACCCCCAGACAAATTTACACCAACGGCCCGATGACCCTGACGAAGGATCAAGAAAATTCCAAAGAGACAGAACAATCTTTCAACAATGGGTACTCAACACTGGACTTCGACCATGGAAAATGAAATCTGTACAGACCCTACATCTCCACAAAACTGTCTCAAAAGGAACACAGGGGCCTCTCTGGTGGCAGCTCTCTGGGAGACAGCACTATCTGGTTTGGCAGCCACCCAGCCAAGTTCCATCCTTGGCCAGGGAGGGACCCCAAGGGCGCGGCAGACCCCTCCTGTCTCCCCGCTGCTCCCCTGTGCTTTGTCCATCTGCATCTGCCTGTTCTGCTCCCCACTCTGTCTCTGGGGAAGCCTCTCACCGTCCTGACCTCTGGCCTGTCCCCCAGTTCTGTGTGCAAAAATAAATCTTTTTTTAAAAAAGGAAAAAAGTTCTGGTCTCTGAGTTAGGCCCAGAAAGAATTTTAAAAGCGAGCCCAAGGCTGCCATTCAGAGAGCAGAGCTGAGAAAGGCCTGGAGATAGAAAACAAAAACTTCATTCAGGTCCCTAACTATTCCTGATAAAGGGGAAGGAGTGATTCCAAAACAATTTTTTTTTAAAAAGCTCCTATAAAAAGGTAGGCAGGGCCCGAGTCAGGAGCTCGGGGAGTAGCCGCACGCTCTTCTCCAGCTACAGGAAGCCACGTACTCGTTTGAGCAAACAGGTATTGGTGAATACCTGGCCACAGGCCACAGGCCAGACTAGAGGCAACGCACCTGTGTCCAGGGTCCAAGGGAGGACTGCGGGGCAGGCCTGGACTCAGAGCAGAAGGGACCGAGAAAAGCAAGCCTGGTGGGAACGCGGCTCCCAGGCCTCACTCCACGGCGCAGGCATGGGGCCCGGGAGTGCGCAGGCCGCCGGCTGCTGGCGCCTCAGAGAGAGAAAGCAGAAGCACCTGTGGGGGGAGGACATGGGGCAGACTGCAGGGGACAGCCGCCAGGGTGAGGCTGGCAAGCCTCTGCAGATGACCAGCACAGGCCAAGAAGCAGGGCTGGGGAAGTGAGGAGTGTCGGGAATCCGGGCCAGCTGGAGCCGGGCCCTGGACAGGGCCCCGAGTCCCAGCCAAGGTCCCATCCCTGACCCCAAGGGTGGCCGCTGCCTCCTCTGCATTAAGCGAGGCATCGCCCGCCCTCCTCACTGAAGCCCTCTTCTCTCTTTAGCAGACTCATCCCACGAGTACACGTGCTCCCGGGCAACAGGCCTATGCACACAGCACTCCTCAAAATGGTTCTCCAATCCAAAAGGAAAGAAGGCTGTGTCTTCCAACAGTTCTATTCCTGAGAAAAACAAAACACCCTCAATGCTTTCAAAATGACGCAGCTGAACAAAGCAAAGGTCTGACTGGGCTGCCGGGTCTGGGGCCTAGGGCCGCGGGCTGGTTTTCAGGTCTCCCAACACCTGCAGGCCTACCTGCAAGTGAGATGAAGTGGGTGTCCCGGAGGGAACCGGGGTTGGCTACCCCTTTGCTCTCCCTTCTGCTTTTCTTCCCACTGCCTTTGACGCATACGCGCAAAAGCTGCTTGTGCCAGAGGTCAGAGGCACAGGAAGGAAGTGAAGCTCAGTCACTGCTGCTGCATGTGTGGCTCTGGCGAGGCTGGCAGAGAAGCAGTCAGATGACTAACCTGCATCTGGCTGCACTGGGACCCCGGCCAGACAGCCGCGGACACCAACCAACTGGCCAGCCGGTGAAAAGACACTGGCAGAAAGAGGCAGCACATTTGCAAAGGGCGGGGTGGAAGGACCCACAGAAACCCACCGGCCATCTCTGGGCAGCAGCTCGCGTGGACTTCTCGTGTGAATATGCACACGGAACGTTTCTGCAACAAAAGCCACCGAGCTCGGCCCTGCGGCTGAAGTAACGCGGCGCTTTCTGCTCGCGGGCAGTCCCCTCGAGGAGTCACACCCCCGCTGGCCAGCGGCGCCGCGGGTCGGGGCCAGGGAAAAGTTACAAGCGCGTCCCGCTAGCGAGGCGGCCGCGGCCTCCTCCCCGACCGCAGGAACCCCCGAGGCGTTTCTCAGCTCCGTCACAAAACCGGGTGGTCGGCGCGTCATTGTTCTCCCCAGGAGCCCCATTCCCACAGCCCGCTTCCCGGAGCCCGAGTCCTGGCGGGTCTCGGCCGCGGGCCGGCTGGATCCGGACGGGGGGCAGCGGGGCTCGGGGAGGGTGTTTTTGGGGGGCAGCCGCGCCCCCGG